GGTGGCTGTGTGGGGGAAGCCCAGCCTGGCCTCCCAGTGCAAAGCGACGCTGCTCTGACTCCAGCTAACGGCACAGAAGGGCTCATCCCCTCCTGCTGCAACACAAAACCTCGTTTTTCTTGCGCTTACACCCAAAACCACACTGCACTGACACTCATCCCTATCATTTTTACAACATACCCCACCTCTGCCAGCAGTGACAAAACAAAACATTAAAACTTGTCTTTTTTTTTTTAATTTAACTCGAGGAAGTAGTTTAAAAACAAACTGAAACACACTTAACAAGGTTATTTGTTCACTTAACTTCTGAAGTAGTTTTTATTTTTCCATTCTTGGGCTTTTCCACTTGAGAGAAAGCCCAAAAAAGCCCAGCCCTGTACTGTGAGCACTGCAACTAACAGAGCCTGCATTCCCAATAGCCTGTGCCTTCCCGTCACCTACCCTCATCAGCTCCTCCCTTCCCACCACCACCAGAGCATCCCCCAACACCTCGCCACTCAGCAGTACCCCTCCCTTACCTTCAGATTCCCAGTAAATCAGACAACCAGCTAATCCTAAACACGCAAAACTGTCACATTATACAAACACATGGTAAGTCTGTATTTTACTCAGCACTTTTTTTTTATGCCAGTAATGGTGTATAAAGAAAGAATTGTCACTTTTTATTGAATCGGGTTTTATTTTGGATGCTAATATTAACATTTTTAGAAAATGGAATCACAGGCTGGCCCTAATAAAAAGTAACTATGTATCAGCAAGCAAAGCCAGGTCTTTTTTTCTTTTCCTTTTGTTTTTTACTTTCTTCCTGGAGAATATGGCACACTTCACAGCATATTTACCCTCTCCAGAGTTTTCTGCCTTTGTTTTTTTGTCAGGTCTGTAAAGCAAGAAAGGAACATACAGATTAAAGTGGAGAATGTACCTCTACATTTGCTAGTACTTTAAATAATCTGTCCATGGAAGTATATGACCTCAGAAGTCCATAAACTCACAAAAAGTACAAGGAACATTCCATCTTACAATGTTATGACATCTAATCCTTCTAAAACTGTCCATTTTACTGCCATTAATTATTTTTCATTTATGTAAAATAATTAATTAGCATTCTACCTTGTAACTGATATAGAAAATTAAGAAATGCCACTCACCAAGTATAAAAAAGCACTTACAGAATTTCATACTCAATATATAATGCACAAATACATAACAGAAGGGTTTGGAAAAAATTATATACAGTTTAACAACATTATGAAGACACCTGCAGATAACACAGGACCTAAGTCTAAGTAGCAAGTGGATTGTTTTCAGTCTCTGACAAAGGATGTATTTCATAACACAAACCATTGACTATTTTAACAAATAAAATATACAGCTGTTATTGTTAGAAAAAGAAACCGAAATTATCTTCTGCTACAAATCAGCAAAAGAAGTAACTGATGGCCTGAAAGGCCTAAACGCTCCAGTGCAATGAATGGAGCAGTGCCTTATTTGACAGGAGAAACAGATGAGATTTCATTACTTAAGTATCCTTTTTACTTTTTTTAGCAAAGAAAAAAAATGTTAAGGGAGGGAGTTTTTAAAAGAGATATGTAAAAAGAAAACATTGCTACCTTTTATCTCCATATCCAAAACTCAGATTAATGTCACAGCAGGACATGAAGCAATATACCTGTAAGTCCTCTACCACCCAAGCAGGCACCTGGTGAATCTCTTGATGCTGCCCCAAAAGGTTAACTATCCAAATCTCACTATCAACAGGGGCACATCTTTTGAGAGGGAAGATTTGCATTTCCACTGCTACAGCCACTCCAGTCAAGAATGACAAACCAACCCATGCACTCTGGAGGGGAAGTTACAGAAGTGTCAGCCAACTATCCTGAACTAGAGATACTGGGCCAACTGCTCTATCACCTCCAAGCAAATCTCCTTTCCCCTTCTGAGTTAGTTCCATTTGAAGACCATCACACACATTTATTTTTTGTCTTTTGATACATACAAGTATGTGCTTGTGTATGTTATAGAAGCACAATCATGGCAGAATAGAAGTACATAATGTGAGCCTCATTAATACAGATTTTACATGGTGGAGATTTAGACCATATGACAGAGAGCACCTGAAATACCAGAAGGAAAAAAGATGCCACAACAAAGCCAGAGAACCAGGAAGCAATAAAAAGAGCATAGTAGCAACTCTTTTCTCTGCCCTTTTATGAGGAATCTGAAGGATTTATAAGTGTTTCATTACTTTAATTCTGAATCTTCTTGATAGAGCTACCCCACACACCATACACCAAATTTGGGATCCATATAAATCAGCTTTGGGAAAAAAGTCACTTAAGGAACTAGGAGCCACAGTAAGTGACTTGCCTTTTATCATATCTTCCCTTCGGTATATATACCCCAGAGATATAGCAAGTGGGCAATGGTGAAAGCTGGTATCAGCACCCAAAGGCAAAAATCATCTCTTTCTAGATAATTTCCATGAAACAGGATCTAATCTCATCTGAATGTTGTCTTTTACTATATTAATGCAGTATTACACTTACTTGCAAGCTCTTCTGTTGCGGCAGAGACTGGGACAGGTACTACGTTTGTGACCTGCCTTGCCACAAACAAAACAGCCAGCATCAGCCTTCTCACAAGTGTGGTTTTGAAGAGCACAGGAGTTGCAATTGTTACAGTGAAGCCAAGCTGCAAAATAAGTAACATGATTTATGATCTTTAAAAATTTTAGAATTATCATTCTGAAACTAAGCTTCAAATACAGGCTATACTGCCAGGTTTTTAATTTGGTTTTAGTTTTACAGAGATGGATGCAGTCAGTTTCTGGTCCCTTATCACATTTCGTAAGGCAGCCAGGTAGGTATACTGTATGACTATTTCAATATAACTGAATTATTTTGCCATTAGAACTGATATCCTGTAGCAATCTTAAGTGAACAAAAAGTCCAGATGTTAAAATGGACTTAAAAATTGCAATTTCTGTATCAGTAACAAAAATGATTGCTTCAGCTGCTTAAACACATCTATAAATGCAACGGCAAGTAATTTGATCATGCCCTCTCAAACATTTTAATAGTTGCCTATTTGTTTATGAAATTCTAATGAAAAAGCTGACAACATTAGGAGACAAAAAAAAATCAAAGTATTTAAGTTTTCCCATAACAAGTATGAATGGGATTTAGTACGCCTTGACAAAAATTTATCACATTCCCACATGGTGCAAGTATACCTTCAGTTATCAAGTGAAATTGAGAGTTTTCCTTTACTCTGTGTCTTCTGAGAAATTACATTTTATTTCTTTTACAGAATATTTTCAGGTTTGCAATCTCAGTTTCTTCGGACTATATCTAAAACAGTAACTGTACTTTTATTTAGAAAAGTATTTTTCCATACTTACAGGGTTTTACACACTTTTTGCAAAGAGCACAATGTTTCCATCGCCTACCGTCCTACAAAAGATGAATAAACGCACTGTTTATTTCTTTGTGTGTGTGTTTGTTTAAAAAAACCCCACTGTTGTACCTTGAAACTGAACTGAATGTGTGGTCCCCATTATTTACAGAAACGGGTCCTCTGCAGGAAGGGCTGTAACTTGGAAACAACAGTCCTGATAATCTGCGACAACTGCAGCATTTAGAAATTAGCAAGCCTACAATTTTTAAAACGTAAGAAATATATGTGTCAACAGACTACTGATGAATAAGGTATGGTGTAAGTGGCAAACTTTTCCTGTCCTCTTTCCAACACAAAAGAACTGGGGAAAGAGAAATTAATTCCCAGTGAATTATGAATGATGTCCTGTGAAATCAATAATAAGTCTAGGAAACTGAACTGTTTGGGGTTTCCCAATGAAGTCAGAGTCAGAGTAAGTTTTTACCAGAGCAAATATAACAGAAGTTATTATTTGACTACTGCTAAAACTGCTATACAGAAAGAAGTCAAAAACACTTACCTTTGATGTACATGAATTGCATATCTCACAGTGCTGGTTACCAGAACTAACATACCGCTGACATATGGTGCAAAACCTGGAAAAACAAAATTTAAATGTACTGGTCCACTATTTGCTCACAAATCAATATAAATTAATTTTATACAAGCTCAACAATAAAGAGTGCAGAATCACTTTGCTAAATTAAAGATGATGGTTTTGATGCAGAATATCACCACTTTGGCTATTTAGAACATCCAAATAATAAAATTCAGGTGTTTGAATCCACATTAGCCACACTACTAAATCAAAGCCACACAGTAAATCAAATCAAATCAATTTCTTTGTCCTTGATGCTTCTCTTAATGTTCATTTTATTAACTACTGTCTCAACCAAGCTGATTATCAGGCACAGCTGTTAATACCTCTCATAGGTGTACATAAAATTTCCTACAGACAAGCTGAGAAATCTCATTATTCCACAACGGAAAATCTAAACTTCTTTTTAGGTGCCCTGCTCTCCTACATGCTGTTTACAGAACATGCTACCTTAGAATAAGAGATAGGAATGTGCTCTTCAGGTGGCACCCAAAGGTTAGGCAAGACAATACCGAACAGCACCATCTCTTCAGAGACTTTATGCCTTACTTAAGAACAAACATACTCTTTCAGTCACTTCAGTGTTAATACATCTTACCTATAACCCTCTTCCACAGGAAGTACAATCATACTTGGGGTGAGATTCGTGAAGATACGGACAGGGGACTGTCTACGACCTGTTTTGCCATGTTTATAAAGTGCATGATTATCATAGTCTACCTAGAAATATAAACCACAGAAAGAGTGCCTGA